CCTATCACATGTTCGATCTACTGGCACATGATTCGAGACAAAAGCTGCTTCGATACTTACGTATCGAGCAGCTAATAATCTAGGCCAAAATTCGAATTTTTAATTCAATGTTTTTTTTGTCTATGTTTCAACTCAAAATGATCTACAAAAAATTAACCAATCAGAATGAAAGCGTGCCATGCTGACTAATCATAGGCGGCATCATAACCTCCCTCGAGCTTGAAATAACTTATTCTAATACCTAGACTAATAAATTTTTTATACTTGCAGACTAAATTAATGTGAATAAAGCAATTTGAGTTAGATTATATATATAATGTAATTGGTTTTACTCTTACTCCTTAAATAATTGATAGTTAAGAATTTTCTTAAATTTCAAATTTAAAATCTTATTCGTGTTAATCTAGAGCACTTGTTTATATAAGTGTTTAAAGTACTAATTAAGGACCCGGTTCTGATACAAAAACTTTATAGAATATCCGTATTTTGAGGCGTGTAAGGGGGTTACTTATGTGTAATAGAGAAGTCTATAGGTTGTAATATATACCTGGCCTGGTTAATATTCTTGATAATAAAACATATGTAAAAAAAGGTTCTTTTAACACGTGACAAACGGTAAGTTCATAAATTTTTACTATTCAATGTCTGTGAATATAAAGAAAATTTATTGGAGTATTTAGAATAGGTTGTTCATGAATATTTACTACTTAATAAGAAAAATATATATGATGGATAAGTAAAAGTAAACTAATGATCTATTAAAGGATCTCAACATATAAAAGTAAAGAGGTTTTTAGAAATGAAAGCGTCGAGAAGATGAAAATGTCGGGGATGAAAAGTATTGGGGAGAAGTGAAATGTCAGGGAAATGAAAATGTTTTACTTCGCGTGAGGTATTATCTCTAGAAATACTAAATAACGGTTAAATATTTTGGTTTTACTACTGTTACAATTTCATGCGACTTCCATAAGATCTCACGAGATAAATTACTCTATATCTCCTTTTTATGATACATTAACATATTAGCAAACAATTAACTGTGTTAAAATCACCTTATAGTGAGGTGTCGCATGAATAAAATAATAGTACATTAGTAATAGCTTGAGTGACTTCAACTCGGTTAAAATATAATTAGACTAAAATAATTCTTATTAAAATTAGATTGTCTCAAGCTAGCCCGAGCCAACGAAACAATTAATGAATTTTATCTCGATTCACCACAATAAATAAATCTCGAATACTGCAATCTCTTGTAATTTATTAAAACATCTTACAAATCTGCCATAATATCAAATTTGGATTGTTCAGAACAATGCCCTAAAATATGCCAAATTATTAATCGTTATTAATTATTTGTTAAATCAAACATTTGCAATAATTAAATCACACGCTTTAAACAATTTATGCTTACCGGAATATATATAAGACCTTCTACATGAAATAGATTCTTGAATCATGTGATTTAAAGGGCGACTTGTATATATAGCTTCTGAATGTATAGAATTCATTTCTGCTTTTTTATCTTTATAAGATTTAATAATTTTCTTCCTAATTGATTCTGCTTCTTCAAATTGGATATTTTCCGAGTCTTTCCAATCGCATAAAGTTTGGTATATTTCATTAATATTTGGTCGTTTATTTGAATTATCATCCCAACATTGGACCATTAATTCTTTGAAACATGTGGGTGTATCTTCAGTGATATCTGGTCGATGTCCATTACAAATCTTCATTATTAAATGTATATTATGTGGTTGGTTAGCGAATGGTTTTTGTCCAGAAGTGAATTCCCACATGAGAATACCAAAACTATAAATATCTGTTGCTTTTGTAAAAAATTCACCATTAAACATTTCAGGTGCAATGTATGGTACAACTCCATATACCGATTTCGAATTTGTAGGTTCGTTAGACGGTCTACACATTCCTAAATCACCTATAAATGCATGGTTTCTGTTAGATTCTTTTTCTATAAAAATATTTCCACTATGTAAATCGCGATGAACCAAGTCTTTATTATGAATTACACAGAGACTATAAATAACGATACATTAGTTAATATTAAATGAATTCGATAATATACAACTTTATAAGAACCAAGTCTTATTTAATATGCAGTAACTGTTATATTAATTGTAATTATGTTGTTCTGCATATAAGAAGACCATGCTTCTTTAAAGAACATAAAGTACCTTTTTGCAATATCCCGTAACAACTTGATTTTATTTTTCCAAGTAAGTCTTTTATAAGATTTTTTCAAATAATCGTATAAATTTCCACCAGAAACATACTTCATTACCATCAGATAATTTTTATTAATGGATTGCGTGTAATTCCATAGATTTGAACTACACCCTTATGATTTTTGAATTTTTTAAGAGATTCTACCTATATAAATAAACGATAATAACATAAATATTAACCAAAAGTGTCATTTTATTTAAATAGTTTTCTAGAAACTATATCAAAACTATACCACTTACTTCTTTCAAAAATTCAATATTAATATCATTGGAATTATAAAGACTTTTGAGAACAATATCATTTTGTTTCCATTTAGCTTTATATACCATGCTGAAACCACCTTCGGATAAATATTGAATATCTCGAAAAAGATTATATGGAATCCATATGAATTGATCCCCTTTTAAAGTCAGAAATTCATCGATCACTTTATTTCCACTACTACCTAAACCAAATTCATTGATGCAAGTTTCACACTGATAATAGTCGTTTGAAAAATTTCCTGATTTACTGCATAACGAACATATTGAAAGAAATTCATGATTTATCTTGTGAAAAAAATCCAACGATTCATCAAGTTTTTTATTTTTAATATTGCCAGACTTATACACACATTCTCTATAAATACGTTTACTACATTATCACATGGTATACCTGTGCGCAATTATTGCATGCTGTTGAGACATAAGGCCTACGAAATCTATCTTTATTAGTTATTATATTTGTTATGGCTTTGGATGAACGCTCTCGCTTACGTATACTTTGCTCATTGAATATACAAGTGAGACCTTTCCATTTACATCTCGGACAATTTGGTTCTCCAGAACATGCGGATTTAGACTTTCGACAATTATTACACGCAACAATAGCATAGCGATACATAATTTCACAATTTTGAGTTTAACATTCACAACTTTGTTCGTAAGAATTTATTAAACCTATCATATTACAACCAGGAATGTTACCATTCACAACAAACTATTTATACATAATAGTTTTTTCGCGTACAATGTACATAAGTACATACTGTATGTGTGTCTCAATCATTTGTTGTTTTTGAAATTTAATTAGTGCAACGTATCTTGTGTTACATGAATGATTCCGATGAAGATATCCATAATTGAATCACCCTCATTATAGTATGTTAATTTATTACGACATATCATTAATGTAATTTTCCCCCATAATTCCTATTGGACGAAAAAAAAATACTGCTTTTCGATCAAATAATGGAAATGTCGTTGAAACAGTATAAAGGTCTGATCGAACAAATATTATACTAAAATTTTGCAAGGAATTTTTTTTGTCAAAACACAAAAGGCGGTTTTGTAACTAAAATTTTAAGTTACCAGCGATTTTGAAAAACTTCAAAAAACTTCGGTTTTTTGAAAATTTTGTAACAGCAGAGACCGTTAATGTTACACATATATTAAAACTGGTGAGGGATTATATCCATCACAATTGAATCCAACATAAATAATTTAAGTTGTGATTTATCACAGGTGAGAGGGATTCACTTTGGATCGGGCATTGTCTCTGCTGTAAAATTTATGTTACACTCGATTTTATAATTTTATTGGTAGACGAAAGATGGCGTAGTCTACGTTGTCCAATTAGAGTCAGCATTTACAACTGTCCAATTAGAACCGTGGAGAAAAATTAGGGATCCCGATTCTAAACTTGATGTTTAATAAATCACTAATAAATCAATAAATCAATAAATCAATAAATTTAATAGCAACTTAAGTTGATTTCAAATTCGATAATGCTGTAATGTAATAAATGTATAATTGATTGATGTAATGAGAGTTAAAGTAAATTATGTCTTATAATAAATTGTCAAAAATATTTAAATAGAAATTTTTATTCTTGACAACTCTTTTTATCTGATGGCCGAACTTCAAGATTATCCTTTCTTTTCTCATAATGCATTTGATGAATTGCTTTTCAAATATTTTAGCAGTAAATCAGCTAATAGGTAATATAAAATTTTTATTATACAGAAGGTACTATATTATTATGGACACTTTTGGGATTGCAGTTTCTCAGGATTGGGTAAGTAAATGTTGCACAAAATATATATCATATGACAGGCATATCTTACAGTACAACATATTAAAATTTTATGTAATTTAGTTAGAATACACAGGAGTTATACAAAATGTAGGACAAAATATCATTTTTGAATAGGGTGAAAATTGATTTTTTGAAAATTTTTTTTTAAAAAAAAAAATGAATAGAAAGTAATATCTAACAGAAAGTCAAAGAGGAGCAATAATATATGATCATTAGTGCAAAGATTCACTACATACCATTGCAGCTGTAGTTGTTTATAGCAAATTTTTTATGTAGAATATATAAAGGAGTTTAGTAAGTTGGGCATAGAAGCATAAAAAAAAAAGACTTGGTTATTTAAAATTTCTAACTCAATCTGATCAAAAAGACCTAAAAGAGTTAGTAATAAATGGTAACCACTGTTTCAACCTTATTCAAATTACCAATTTTTATAATTGTTATAATAAACAAAAGTTTTCCAAAAGTACTGTATATTATGCTTTGCATAATTTAAATTTATTCTCATATGTTGTTCTTTTAAAGTTACTTGTTTTTAATATAAATGTCAAAAAAAAGTATGAATAGGTCTTTACATATAAAGACTAAACTGTTACTAATTTTAGATAGATATTATAGTCAGATAAAACTAGTATTCATCTTTTTCAAGATTTTCTTAAACATGTATAGTGTAAACTACACAAAAAATAAGAAATTAATTGTATAGATTGCATTGTAAAGTATAACTCAGGTCATATGTATTGGGCTGTTTTTTTTGGTTTGAGGTTGGGGCCCTTGTTTCACTAAAATCCAATGTCACTAGTATCTCACACTTTAAAATTCTTTATAAATATGTTATCTTTGCTATAGAGAAATTTCTATCAAATTATAAGCATAATCAACCAACCTTTGTTTAAAATAATGCAAGACCTTATGTTATTATAATAGCAAAGAAATTTTTAGAAAAGCACTAAATTTGTATAATAAATTAGCCTTTGTAGAACTCTGATCTTAATCTGATTAAAAATCTGTAAGAGGAAATAAAGTGGTTAATATGTCATAAAAACAGATTAAGTAGTTTTGATAAGCTAGATGCTCTTGTGAAAAAGGCATAAAATAATATTCCACTAAAATTAATCTGATGGTTAATTACTAGTATGTTCGATCAAGTTGCCACTTGTATAAAAGCTAAAGAGAAATCTATAAAATATTAAAATAAAATTAGATTAGATTTTTTTTAGAAAAAAAATATAAAAAAAAAAAGTTTAAATTTTAGATTTTTGTCTCAATAAAAAAAACTAAGTTCATAGTTTTTTTTGCAGAACTTTTGCTTAACTTAATGAAATCAAATAAAATTTTAATATATTGTACTATATGATATGCCTGTTATATAATATAAATTTTGTACTATTTTTACTTACTTGATTCTGAAAAACTATATTTCTAAAAGTGTTTATAATAATATAATACCTTCTGTATATAAAGATTTTAATTTTTGTATTAAAGTTTTAAAAGATTTAACAAATACAATTTACTAAGCAAAAAATATATTTACTATATGTAATCTTAGAACATTGGCAAATTTTATAATTTGACTTATTAAAATTGATTCAAATCTGCTTGTATGTCTTGTTGACAAAATATATGAAATATTGTATAATTTGTATTAGGAGACTTTAAAACATATTGGTTCATTAACACTATAAGATGCAGTATATAATTTTATAAAAATTTTTTACCTTATAATTATTATAAGAATTAATAATATTTAAACATTTTTTAGGTTTTAAAACAATATAGTTATATCTATTACAAACCTGACTATTATATACCTACAGTTGTACTTGTAAACTTTCAGACCAACAATATACAGATAATTTTTACAATTCTTATATTTGTCCACCACAAGGAAAAGCAAATAAAAAACTATTTAAATGAATATCTGAATGGATAAACTATAGTACTTCTATTAATAACATTTTACAATATCAAATCTAGATGAGTTTTAACCACTCTAGTAAGTTTAGGTTGCAAATAAATTAGATAAAATTAGACAATAATTTTGTTTATAGTCTGGGTTTCATTCTTGTAAAAACTTTGTAAATTGGCTCTGGCCTGTATCAACTCATGTAGCTGCCTATAACAAATTAATAATAAAAATAAAGGCAAAACCTCATCTTAATATAAAAAAAAAAACAATATATTGTAATTATATTTCATGATCTTTTATAAAAGAGTTTGCATAATATATACAACAAGAAAAAATTTTTCAAGGGTGTGGTGACCTAGTGAAGTGGTCAGGTTGTCAACCCTCCAAGTGGTAAGTTGGGTGTTCAAATCCCATCAACAGCGAAAATTTGAATAATTACCTATATAATATTTATATTATAGCAACTGTTACTAATGATTGGGTTAGAATATCTGTAATGGCAGTCACACTAGCATGACTGGTAGATCATGGGGCATTTGTGTAACAGGTCATATAACATTGTCCTTTGGGACAAGATTGTGGTTACATGAAGGAATGCAAACCAGCAATTAGACAATACAAACACTAGATAAGTTCTTGTGGCCATGTAAATCCGTTGAAATTGGGTAACAAGAAGTCCATTTGGTAAGACCCAAGTAGAAAAGTAGTTAGATCTTCGACAGCCCTACTGTAAAGGCTAGCTTTATGAAATGGATACCAAGGTTGAAGTAGCCAGATGGGCAAAAACCTCTAGGCAGAGGTACCACCAACCAGACTGCCAGATTGAGCTAGAGAAAAAGAATATTGGACCGACCTGATATATCAATAGACCAGTCATAAGTCCTACTGGGCTATCTGGATTGGAAGTTTAATAAACTAGCAGGAGTATACTAAAGTATTTCAGATATGCTGTAAAGTAGATACTGGGATTTGTGTGAACTCTACAAGGGCATAATGGTTTAATGGTTAGTCTTGACCACAAGTGTTGGTTCTACTATAGTAATACCTAAGTCAGCTGTAAAAATGGGTACAGAAGGCTCTGAAAAGTTTACCTTGAGGATAAATTAGTTCTAAGGTTGATACAATGATCTGAGCATCTGGGATAACCCAGTGATGTTAACACAAGTTACAGGTTCAAAGAGTTTAAAGTAGAACATCCAAGCAGAAGTATTAAGTACAGCAATTAGTAGGGAATCTTCGAGTGGACTTCTTAAATAGGTAATATAGAAAAGTTATATATGTAGCTAATTGTATGCTCTTCTGTAATGGTTCATTGAACCACAATACCAATAAGTGATTAATAAAAGTCAAAAAACCAAAGAGGTCATCTTAAAAAAAAAAAAAAAAAAAAAAAAAAAAAAAGAACTTTTCAAATCTAGTATTGCAAAGTTAATAATCTTAAACTTCTTTTTTAATAAAGTTCAAGTAAATCTAATTTCTATAACTAGCATATCTGATGGTAATTATTATTATATATATATATATGATCATTTCACATAGACTTAAGTTATAATAAGCAAATAATCAATTAAGATAGCAATATTTTTTTGATATTTTCATTTGTTTTGGTGTTTTGATTATTTTTTAAACTAATAATAGTTATAAGTTTATTACAGAAATAATCTGTAAATTATTAACAATATGGTCTAACATTTATATTATTAACAATTATTCAAAATATTTTTAAAGTTAAAAATTAATAAAATATGCAAATAATATTCTTTAACAAAAGTATTAAATAAATAAAAAATATATAAATAAAGAATTAGACTTGTGTTATATTATTGTATTTTTGTAAGTACAGTCTATTCTCATTTATATCAACCCATTTAGATTGGTTTTAAATTATATTGATAGTAAT